CACACACACACACACACACACACACACACACACACACACACACACACACACAAAAGCCCTCATTCATTACTGAAGTCTTTTTTTAGTTTGCTAATGAGCCAGTGTGATTTTACTTGTTTTGCAACAATAATAAAAGGGTTTGTTTTTAAATATATATTTTACTGCTGTTTTTTATCATCACTGTTGTGGAAAAAAGTTAGAAAGGTGCTCTTCCAGCCCATGGCATTGGCTATGTCCTCAATGTCCCTGTTAAACCCAGCGCAGTTCCTCACAGTCTGCTCCCAAAACTTCTCAGAGCTGAAGAGCTGGTACAATCCGGTTAGAGCACAGCACAACATACACGTGAACACAAATGAATTTGAACACAAGAAAAAAACAATAGACACTAAAGCATTATTTCTGTATCATCGAACAAATCCAGTACTTTACCGTTGTCCTCACCGTTTTGAATCTGCGTGACGTCTGTGCCAGCAGTGCCGTGTCTTTCAGCTCGAGGCAGTACATGATTCGGAGCATGATGTCATCAGGTAAACGCTCCAGGTAATCAAACTTTCCTTGGCACAGTGCTGCTGTGTAATCCAGGATCCTTTGCCCAAAAACAGCACCGACTTCATCTGCAGATGATAAGTCGACAAACACAGCCCTTTCTATGTCAAATTATAAACCCAAACAAGATTCAGAAATAGGTTCGAAAAGAATATTATCAAGAACTTCATGGAAGTGGGAGTGATGATTTCGATGAAGAAAACTTACACTGTAGAGTTTTATCATTTTGGAAGTCCTGATGAGATGTCTTCTGCTGATTTGGGGGAAGACCTCTGCATTCAAGTCGCAAAGAAATCCTCCATGAGGTTAGTATTACCTAAATTTAGAGGGGAAAAACAAAGATGGGACTTCAAGACTTTAATCCAGGAGACTTGAAGTAGTGGCTACAAGATGCCGATATGCTACTGGAACAGGGCGAATGATTTTACTAAAACATCTTGCTATTAGCTTGTTATTTGTTAAGCATAAATATTAGAAAATAGTCGCAAAGCCATATTTAAAGCTAAATAACGACGTGAAAATTAAGCTAGCCTCAAATAGAGGGATTGTTTTTATAAGCACGCTTTATACAGTTACTCCTCGAAAGTCTGTTATATAAATAATACATAACCTCGTTTTTGGTAATGACAAGTTGAAAAAAATCCTTTTGAGGCGGCGGACCCTGACCACTAATTTCAAACAGTCTATCCCCAAGCAAAGACGCCATTTTGGACGCAAAAAATGTTGCCATGACAACTAAAAAGCAACTAAAACTGTCTTTGCACAACGACTCATGAAACGTACCGATTGCTTTATCATTGATGTTGGGTAATAACAAAAAGTTATGCGGGGCATATTAATTTTACACATATGCTTGTTTCATATATGTCTGTTGAAGGGGGGAGGAGGGGGGGTCACGACCCAGCGGATTGATACTTAATATTTGTGACAAGCTAATGTTACCAATGACTTCAGTGATTCAGCGACTGTCTCTGGATGCCTACAAAAATAGTTCAATTGTCTTCATTAGAAACCCGTCGCTTTGTTTCGAAAGAGCAGCCGATCCAGTGCTCGCGCTCGCTTTGTTGACTGAAAGCAAGCAGATACAGAAAATAAGGAGCAAACTAGTCCCGGAGCGGATGAATCACGCGGAGGTATATTGCGGTTGTAGGCCCCTCAGCTGATGTGAAACTAGCAGTGGTAGAGAGAAAAGAGGAGCTGGTGCACTGTCTGTTACAACTACAACACTGGAACAAATAGGTAACAACATTATACCAAAAGGTAGACATTTTCACTGACATTTAAACCTGTAGTCTTTTGGGATTTTGACAGTATTCAACCTCGAAATACATCGGAAGAATGGGTGTTGCGAAAATAACTCGAATCCCGGTCCTGCTTTCCTGTTTTTTTTGTGTCTAAAGGTATCAGGGGCCATTTCTTTTTGCTAGTTAGCGTTTACTTGCTAACTGCTAGCTAGACAACTTGTTAATGTTTGGGAAATTTTGGTCAAAACTTTATCATAAACACTAAATTGGTGCGGTGTTGCCAAAAACGCTGTTTTCAACACAAATCCTTTTAACCATCCTGTCGAGCTGGCAAAATGTTAGCCATCGACAACAAGGCTCGCTAACGTTAATTAGCTGGCATGCCAAGGTTAGCTGGTAACAGCTATAACGCTCTTGTTTGATTAAACATCGTAAGCTGCGCGACAGTCCTGTAGCTGCTAATTCGGTCTCGACGGGGATAGTAATGTGGTGTTACCTCGGCTCCCAGCTTAATTGAAAACAGCGAGGTATTTTAAAGCCAATAGCCGGCTGTTTATTTATTTTTTTTGTCAGCTTACTGTTTGCGAGAGAACGGTCATTGAAGAAACCCTCGCTGTGGCTAGGCTAGTATTAGCTTGCTAATGATAACCTAACCGTGACGCTTTGAATTCTGAGCAAGGTACTTTAACGGTAGTTGAATGAGATGTTTGGCATTATGTGTCCCATTTACCCAAGTCTTAACAAGAACCATGCGCTGTGTTGGCACGCTGTTTGTTAGTGGTCAACTTGTCTTCCTGGCTAACAGTAGCTAAAAGGCTAGCCAGCGCTGTAGTAGTGAGAGGGAGGCATTGGCCTTAAGTCAGCTCAGAAAATATTGTTAGCCATCCTTATAGCTTACCAACATTAGTTAGGAGTCTGTCTGTACATAACAATTCGCGCTGACAATTGCAAGGAGAGTGTAGAACTGTATCAGCGTCGTTACATGTCTAGGTGACAGTTGTGTATTTTGGATTTATTTACCCCCATCAATCGTAGACGGTGAGCTTGCTTACGAAACACAAACGTATTTCTCTTTTCTCTAAACTTGATTGTCAGCCCCCCCCCACCACACACACACACACACACACACACACACACGTACACAGAGCTGTGTGTCCTGGCAATCTGACTGCCAACTTAGCTTGCGTTAGTTTACTTGTAGCCTGCTAGCTTTATTACGTTAAACCGCTGTCGAAAGACGGGTCTTGTCGATGTTGCCTTTTTTCGACGTGAAGCTAATTTCGGATGAACCCGATCGTTATTTGCCAGTTGGAGGGGCGTATTTGCCATTTAGTAAGCATTATGTCGTTTCGTAACCCAAACAAGCTAGCTTCTCAAATGTGACAATTTGTTTGGCTAGGGTACTAGCTGAATAGGTTGACACACCGGCACGCCAACTACGCATTTCAGTGTAACCGTTGCTACGTTAGCCAGCGTAACTTTAACTAACTGCTAGTCCGCAGTTAGCAAGTCTTCTAGCGTTTTCTCTTTTTTAGATTCAAGATGTAAACGCCACAAGCTTAGCTTTTGGATGTGTGAAGCTTTTCTGTATAAATAAACCGATACGATGGAGGTATTGTTAAAATGTATGGGGCTTGCTAGGATATTAAGTGGCTAAACATGCTAGCGTTAGTCGGTGGTGGACAACTACGTCAGAAATATAGGCCTCTGTAAATCATGGGTATAAAAAATCGGACACTTCAGTTCTTGTTTTAGTTATGTGGTAAAATAAACTGGGTCGATGGTCTATGTGAGGCTGTAAATCATTTGATGAGCTTAACTAATACCATTATACTCTAGTGGGGAACACCAGTTGTCAGAATGGACGAATAACAAAGACTAGGATGCACTGTCAGTGCAGGCCTAACATGGCCCAGTGAGCTTGGCAAGTGTGGCGTATTTTTATCATCAGTATCCGTGATATCATAGTTTAACTTGTGACTTAAATAGTCAGATGCTTTTGAAAAGAAAATTAAAAACATATTTATTTAGGGATTCAATGTTTTTTGTCTAGCAAATAATGAAATCATCTTCCTGTATGTGTTTAGATCAAGTTAATCAATTGTCTTATCAGTACTGTCACTTTATTGACTCCTGTGAGTTAGATACATGCATTCACTTCTAATGTTAAAAAGAAAACTTCTGTACTACTCTGATCAATTAAACTGTTAAGATTGTACTGCACCCCTAACACTAAGCACACTGGATCAGATATATAAATTTTATACAATGCTGTAGTCATTTTGAAGCATAATTGCTGTTGGCAGTTAGTTTAGGACTTAAACTGAAACCAAAAAAGAATTAAATTATAGTCTACCGTATTGTATGTTTATTTTAATTAGGCTGTGACCTTGGTTAATAATACACAAAGGAATCTTTTGCTGTTGTGAGGAAATTGTAAAATGATCCTTTTGATGATTTTAAGTATGTGAAAAGGTTCCAGTAGTGCTTTCTGACAAAGATTTAAAGGTACCAATGTGTAAAAATGTATTATACTGTGCGTAAGTAGGGTACTTGGTGATATTCATGGAGCACAGGGAGGGGGAAAAACTAAAACATTTCAGTAAAATTTGATATTGGCAGTAAGGTTTAATATTAACAGCACTGCTGTATTTTACTGAATGTTATTCAGAGAAGTATACATTTTGTTATGACTGTTATTGAGAGATTAGGAACACGAACTGTGTTCTGTGCTATGATTTAGTTATTTTTAACGGGTCATATTGGGCCACAGTAATATAGTTAGCATAAAGTCTTTAAAAGTTCTTAGTTCCCTGTTTTTGATTTTCAGCTGTGAGGGGATGTAGTTACTAGCATGTGGTGTTGCTGCCAACCCCCACCCAGATGTTGTATCTTCATGTACAGTCTTGAGAAAGTTTTGCCACTGATCATCTCAAAGGGGCCAGAGTGGTGAACCTGTGGTTCAGTGATACGCAATCTCAATAGACGGCAGCTTATTTTAAACCACAGACAACTTGGTGGTGATGGTGAGAGGGTGCAGGTTTAAGGGTGGTCTTTGTATTTTGTTAATGTTCTTTTGTGGTCTCTTTTTCCTTTATTACAGTGAATGGTAGTGTCTAGAAAGGGTATGTCCCTTCAGGAGAGAGGTGCCAATGTCCAACCGGCCTAATTCCAATCCAGGGGGGTCACTGCGCCGTTCACAGAGGAACACTGCTGCGGCCCAGCCACAAGACCACACAGTTGCTGGAAGGTGAGTGTATCTGCATCCTTACTGTCCAGTTAAAATCAGAATATTTAAAAGGCAGCTGTAGTTTGTGGGCAGCAGTTGTTGAACCTTTCTTGAAAGAGCAATAGATGAAATGATGTTTCGTAGAGGGGAATTTGTATTTGGGTTGTGTCTCTTTGTAGTTAATTGGTATTTTAACTTGCTGAATGGTAAAATTGTCCTATGTAATCAAAGGAAAAGCTTATCTTTGTTCTTTTGTCATAGTTGGTAATTAACCCTCTTTTAGCTTTATTTTTCATGAATCTCCAGACGTGATAATGGCCAGATTATATGCAGAGGGAGACAGGCAAAATGATTTGGAGATTGATCAAGTCTCTTTATAAGTAACTTAATCACAGACACCCACACTGTTACGTGCTCTTTAATTTCCAACCTTACAGGTTGCAGTCAGAGCAGGTAAAACATAAAGCAAATTCCCCACCTGAAAGTAGAAGACCTAATTCTAAGGCTCCCAAAGCCACAGCCAGCTCAGCCACTGGCCAGTCCAGAGGGCACAGCTCAAGAAGGTACCTGTGTTTTCTACTTGGTGCTTAGTGTGTATGTGTGTGTAAATAGGGTCATGCATTTTTGTCCTTTTGGACTTTGATCAAAATCTGAAAAAAAAAAAGGGCAGTGAATGTGGCATTGCAATGCTCTGCTTTTTAGGATTCATAAATCTTCTAAGATGGACTTCTGTGTCTTTTCCACCCTAACAGAAGCGGTCTTACTCTGTCCGTGGCTTCATTTGTATTGCAAGACGATCCAGAGGCTGCAGGAACATCTGAACAAGAGCGACCAGGCCACCAATCTAAGAGTGAAGGCAACCGAGGGCTGAAGCGAAGTGAAGCTCCTGACCAAATAAGTACCTTTGGCCCAACCCCTGCCAAGAAGCCGAAATCACTCCCATCACCCCGAGACAATACCTCAGAGACCAAGAAAGGCCCAGTTAAGTCCAAGAAAAGATCACTTACTTCAGAATTGCCTGCATCGTCAGGTCGAGGCCAGAGCAAGAAGAGTGTGGCCGCTGGGGCCTCGCCAATCCAAAAACGGAAAAAAGCAGACTCTCTCCCCGGTCTTAGTAGCACCGCTGGGTCCCTCCCCAATCGTACCGAGGGCAGAACTGCAAAACCCACCAAGCTGGCGTCTAAATCGGCCGCCTCAGCCAAAGCTGGGTGTAGCAACGTGACAGACTCCTCCTCCTCCTCTGCCTCCACCTCTTCCTCTACCACAGGCACCAACAGCACCACCACCCAAGGCGCCCGAGTCAAACAAGGAAAAGACCAGTCCAAGGCACGTCGCTCCCGCTCAGCATCTAGCCCCTCTCCACGCCGTAGTACACGTGACAAAGAGCAGGCCAAAGCTGCCAGCTCTTCAAAATTTGAGTGGGCAGCACGCTTCAACCCCAAAGTCAATCTGCCAAAACCCAAACTGTCCTTGCCTGGATCATCCAAAACTGAGACCTCCAAACCTGGGCCATCAGGATTACAAGCTAAGCTAGCAAGTAAGTTACATTTACTGTGTACGTCTACATTATTAGCTCTATGAGGACAGCATTTGTACTTCAGAAATTTTTCTTTCATATTTGTTTTTTATATTTTTTCTATTGTTCAGAATAGTTGACTATCACGGAGGGAAGTTTTTTTTTTTATTTGTTTTTTTTTTTTTTTTTATAGAGCTCTCCTTTAATTTTTCTTTCCATTGAACTTAATACTATAAAGAGGGTTAGGATTTGGCTTGTGGGTTTATTTTTCTTATTTGTTTGTTTTTATCTTTTGGCACATTGGTCTTTGATATTTGAATTGAGGTGTTATTTTCCAGGGATTAAGTGTTACATCATGAGATACAAAACCTTATTCTGAACTGCTGGGAATGAATGTATTTGTTTTTGTATTAGACATATTCCAGCATAACTGGTAAAGCATACACATGATTTTAACTTCAGATAAAATTGTGCAGAGAAAACATTCAAAAAGGCCCATATGCAGACATTAGTGTAATTCATATATTTATGATTTATAAGTACAGTTGGTTTGTGTCTTGACTAGGATGTCTCATGTACACATGTTGAGTGTGGACTGCACAGAGCTGGTTCATATTTCAGGCATAAGTACCAGTAGCCTGAAACCTGAGATGTATAAATACTGGTGGTCATTCAGTTGTCAGTGATTTCACAGGTATGGCAGGCTCAATCAGCAGTAAACAAGACTTTTTGTAACATGGTCTATATCGTGGTAGTCCTGTGACTTTAGTATAGTCAGTTACTGCTCTGTAAATTACTATGAATGCAGATGTTTTGAGTTTTAGCACAGCACACTAAAGCTGGTTCTCTTGCCCCTCCCCCAAAAGAGCAAGTATCTGAAATGGGAAACATATTGCTCCACCTTTGCATGTGTGCTGCAGAAGTTCACAACAGTTTCAGCTATATTGTGGCAAACATGTCTTTAGTTATCATAGAAGAGAGAGAGGTCAGTGTATTATTATTTTTTCTTTTACTTTTTGTGGCTTATCATATCTATAACATGAATTTGCATGAAGTTTTTTCTCCTCAATTGACATTCACAACACAGAACAGCACTTTAAGAGGAAATTCAAGAGGTCAGTAGTTTCAACAACAGTATTAAAAACAGTTATCATGAATATTGGAGCTAACGCTAGCGCACACATTAACGTTCGGTAGACACAAAGAGTCGAGGGTCACAAGGCCAGATAAAGAAGGGCACAACGGATGCCCTTCTTGCTGCGTTTTATTTCAAGTGGGAAGTCAAAAATCCCGTATTCCAAATTTGAATTATCAGCTGGAATACTGCCTCAGTTTGGATTTATATTTCTAAAACTTGGAACAGGCCTGTTAATCTTGACTTAACAATTCAACATGGCAGCAGTGTAGTAAAACTGTAAACCATGTACTCTGTCCTGAACCAGGGCTCTAGACTAACGTTTTGCCATGGTTGCACTGGTGCGCCTAAATTTTTTTTCTTAGGAGCACCAGCACAAAGGTTAGGCACACCCAAATTTTTCAACCGCATCACTTAACAGCGCAGTTTTACATGTGCACTTATTTGGGGGGGGTAAATTGCTGTCCATACAGACAATATTCATTTGTAAATGATTAAATAACAATCTTGTGCTTGAAGTGCTTTGGCACTCCTTGGCGATATTGTAGACAATGTTAAACTTGATGGAAGCGCATCTGTAACCGGAAGGTCGCCGGTTCGATCCCTGGGCTCTCTGTCCTGGTCGTTGTGTCCTTGGGCAAGACACTTTACCCTACCGCCTACTGGTGTTGGCCAGAGGGGCCGATGGCGCGATATGGCAGCCTCGCTTCTGTCAGTCTGCCCCAGGGCAGCTGTGGCTACAACTGTAGCTTGCCTCCACCAGTGTGTGAATGTGAGAGTGAATAGTGGTATTGTAAAGCGCTTTGAAAAGCGCTATATAAATCCAATCTATTATTATTATTATTATTATTATTATTATTATTATTATTATTATTATCATCATCATCACATCGGCCTCCTCTGACGACCTGTTTGGTGCCGCTTGTCGCTGAAAGGCAGTGGGGAGAGGGGACACTTAGGCAGTGCATTTATCATGACATATAATGTATTTTCTGGATACACTGTGATTTTTCAGCATTCATAGATTGATGACTCCGTGTCAGAGCACTGGCTATGAATTTCAGACGGATCAGGCTTGAACTTAACTTAAAAAGTTATCAATAGTTCTTTTCATCTTTTCTTATTACCCATAGCTCTACATCCACTTCCGTCGGGCCTAGGCTGCTCACTAGGGCTTGGTATCATCACTGATTTCTATAATCTATTAGATTCCGATTCACAAGGTTTCAATTCGATTCAATTTTGCCTCAGACAGTCAGTACTGATACTTGTGAGACTTCATCAGAATTGTGAGCATCACAGCAGATGCCTTTGTTTTATTCAGTAACTGAGAATAAAACTTCCTGGCCTGGCTTTTTATAGCAGATAATTTTAAAAATATTCTGTAGTATTCTGCAATTTTGCATAATTTCTTTAAATTTCTTCAGTATTGGGCAGCAGAAATTAGGCTTTCCTGTCCGAGGACATTAAAGTAAAAACAAAAAAAAAAACCCACAGCGGCCGACAGCGCTGTAAACAACGGTAGACTGGTGGGTAATAAGCGAATGAATAATGCCAAAAACAGAGATTTGAGACGGGAAACTGTTCTTAAAAGAGAGAGAGCTGTGCATGAAGTGTGGTTTGTTTTGTTTTTTTTCTTCTTTTTGTTTGTTTTTTTTTTTTTTGGTGTTTTTGTTACTTGAACAGTTGGTCGCGTCAGTGCGACCGAAGATTTTTTTTTTTTTTAGTCACACCATTGAAAAATTTGGTCGCATTCTAGAGCCCTGTGAACTGTTGTGTATTTGTGACTCGATTAATAAGTCACATACAGTACTGACAAAACTACCTGTAAGTGCTGCAGGAGTGGTTCGAAGCTAAAGAAAAATGGGCCTTGCATATTATTGCTGCTGGTGTGGTATAGCTTTACCTTGTTAGCAAAACAAAGGCATCTAACTTCCTTGATAAAGTGAATGCAGCTAGTAGCTATGGCTACTAGTACTTAGATACAGGAGCAGCCCCCGCCGCCATGGCACCAAAAATGGCTTTGAAATTCCAGTATTGTGACAACCATGTTGTGTATATGTAATAAAAGTACTATTTAAATGAGTTTTAGCTAGTAATTATATTTGGTGAGTTTTTGTGTCCCGGTGACCATCAAAATTTATACTCAGGCTTTCTCTCCAATCATTTACATAAGGACTTCATTTAACTGCCTCGAGGTGTTGCCAAAATGGCCACAGAGTTGCAAGAGTTGCTTCTAGAAAGACATTGGCTCTAGTATCTAGCTTGTCTGATAGCCTATATAGACCATTTGCAAAATGTATTAGTGAAAATCTGGTATGTCTGGTGAAGTGAGTTTGAACTCAGAGGGGTCAGTGTGGGGTCAGTCTGTTCTACATGGGTGAAAGGATAGTAACTGAAGTCAGCTCTGTTCCATGGGCTATGGCCCAAATAGAGACCCCTCCTTCGTAGACTTTGGTGTGTTGGCCCACCAGCTGACCAGAGTTATGTTTGAGGGCAGGGAAGGAATCATGAGCTGGTTCTGTCAAAAGGAAAGTACTTCATCTCTCCTGCCATATCCATATCTGTCCGCCTCTGCCTTTTAATACGCAGATTCTGTTACTTTATGCTGTAATGGTGAGTAAGCATGTACAGTGCTGCAGCATGTTTTTGTGTGCTTTTCAGTGCGAAAGAACATTTTGATCATATTAAATTAGTCACGTTACAGCAGCCTGTGTCATAGGACAAGTATGTGCTTTTAGTGAATTACCCCCCTGGAAGACTTTTACTGAAATAAGTCTGATGGACCTTTTTGTTTGACATGTTGTAAATCAGTAGCAAGTGGGACATGAAGATGAGGTCAAATGAAGTCCAGAAGTCAATTTTTAATGTTTAATTCATTTCGTTTTAACTCTGTTAATATTTATTTTTATGCTACTGAATTATGAGTCACAGACCTAGCATGAAGGTTGTCTTGTCATAGTGCCATAGGTGTTGCTATTAATACTCACTGGTCTGTGGTGCAGGGCTCTACACAGGCAACACCAGCGGGCCTTTACTATAGCATCAGTCTTTGCTTTTATGTGTTGACTGTGTTTTCACAGATTTTTAACCATAAACCTAATGTAGTGGCATGTTTTCTGTTTTCTTCCACAACCCAAACTTCTTACATGTTTTACTATTGAATAATTAACCCTTTAAAACCGGTCGGAGCGGGCACGCTCTGTTTTGCGTAACTATTTTTAAATCCTGGTAGCACTGCAACCACGTGAGCTAGCGCAATAATTTTTTTTGCATATGAAACCGGAGGAGTTGTACTTGCATCTTATGCCATCAGCTTGTCCTAAGTCACGGTTTCCTTCCACATATAGCTTTGCAAAAACTGCATAAAAAGCACTTGCAGCAACAAAAACATAATATTCCACAAACACGCTTTGCCAATCCGATCAGCGGTTCATAACACTTACTACGTTGGAATAGACGTCAGAGCGAACTTTCACGTCCGCCATTACCTGCCCGAAACCGGAAGTGACGTCATTTTCACGGAAATGTAGTTTTTTACCATCAGGGCCTCATGAGCCTTTACTGGTGTTTTTAAAAGTTATGTTTGACTTTATGACTTTCTGTGTAGTTTCTGGGATGCTTAGGACTCATATTGCACTGCTGGAAATAGTTTATTTTGATGCATATGCTGCTTTTTTGCAAATTTGCATTATAATATTTATTTTCGTTTTTCCTGCAGTAAAAATAAAACTATGAAGACACAAAATAAATTTCCTGTGGTGGGAATCTATTTTGTGCAACTTTTTTGTATTTACAGTTTTGAGAGATAAGCCTCTTAAATTTCTCTAACTAGAAATATATGTTTTAAAAAAACAAAAACGATTTTCAATTTTTTTTGTAGGTTATTGCACTTTTTTGCAATTTATTTAATTACTATGCACTTAATGCAGACATATTATTAAAATCTGGGCTATAATGGTTGTATTGATGTATAGCAACTTGAAATGCTCCCAAAATGGCACTACAGCATGTAAAAATATAATATCAGCTCTGGTGGACTTGGTTCTATGGTAGGTCTTAAAGGGTTAAATAAAAAATTTGATTCACCTCCTGTAGAATATGTTTTTAAATGAAAGTATTTGATGCCACAGTTGGGGCCCAGTACAAAAGTTATAATCACTGTTTTCTATTTTAGGTTTGAGAAAATCCACTAAGAAGCGCAGCGAGTCTCCTCCAGCAGAGCTCCCCAACTTTCGGCGGAGCACACGCCAGAAGACCACGGGCTCCTGTGCCAGCACCAGGTACACTACAGTGACAAAAAACAAAAATGCATGTTACTTCTGGATATTTATTTTTGAGGAATGTGGACATCATTGAAGCTATACTAAAGTTAAGAAATGTATATTCATGATTTATTCAGCATCTAAAATGATTGCAGTCTAATTTTAATGATGAGACCTAGTGCTGTGCTGTCAGTCTTTTCTCTTAAGCCAGAATGATGAAAAGAGCCTTTTGGTCAGGAATATCTGTCTAGAAGTTGGTCTATAAAGGTTATCTGCAGACAGATCATTAGTGGTGGCCTTTATGTGCCTTTGTCTCTGAGGGTCCCTCACCTGGTCCACTTATGGTCAAGTGTTGGTTGGTACCTTTTGTCCTACAAAGTTCTTCCTGTAGATCGCCCAAAGCAGACCAAGGATTGTGCTGCTTGGACCTCTTTGTGCCTCTGTCTGCACCTGCAGAACTCTCACAGAGGCTAAGGTGCCAAACGCCAACAGTAGTTGGCATTTCAGAATAGGCTTTACTAAAAAAAAAAAAAACACACATCTGCTAGTTTATGCCATTTCTCCTACCGCCTCTGTTTCTTTTCTATTTCCCCAATAGGACATTAAACTCTTAAAAATATAAAAGCTAATTTACATCCTGGAGTCCTGCTCTCAAAAATTGACAAATGTGATGCTGTCTGTGAAGCTGGATTTAAGAAATAAGCACTTAAAGATTTGAGAACATGTGTAGTGCCATGTTCTGTCAGGACAGAACGCTGGGTCATGTGGTTGGTTGGCTGGTTTGCGGCTAATAGACTTCTATTAGTTTATGTTAGCTAACCAGAGACAGAAACCTTCGTGAGAATAAGGACACTAAAACTAAAAAAAAAATCACTTGTACAGCCCCTAGATGATGCAATCAGTTCACAGACAGTGTATCTATGTTATGTTATATCTAGGTCTACATTGTATCTATTTCAGTTTTTGAGAGCAGGGCTCAATGATGTAAATTAGCCTTTATATATGTAGTGTTTCATGTCCTCTTTAAGGTTGGAATGTTTACTATATTACGGTAATGACTAATCATGGTAAGTAGTTGCTAAACTTTTTTTTTTCTTTTTTTTTTTTTTCATTCATTGGACTCAACTCACCCAAACACCTTAGCTTACATATTAAACTCTTGGTTGTAGTCTACTGGGACCTAACTGATGCCTTTTTTGCTAGTGTGACTGCTTTATTCAGATGGATGGCCAAAGGGTTGAGTTTAAACTTTTTATCAGTTTGCATATTAAAACTTTTAAATAACAAAAGATGAAAACTTAAAGATCCCTTGCTTTATTTCATGATGTTACACCAATGTTGCCATTTTAAAATCTGCTTGGTCTAATGATATTTTATTTTAAAGCACACGCCTCATCAGCTCCAGTGTCTGTCAGTAGCAGAGCTCCACCCAGACTGAACTGGATGTGAAGCCACTTCTCATCCCAACACAAAAAAACTACTCAAAGTCTGTTGTTACGATTTCAGTAAAAAAAAACAACAACAACAAACATCAAGGCTGAAACGATTTTGTGCAAATGCTGTCATTGTGTTTGTTTAGAGTTCATTTAAGCTGAACAGGTTAGCAGCTTGTATCAGCTGAGTGACCTTAAATAATCAATATTTAGGTCTGCAAATTGGCATTTTGGGGAAAAATGTCTCCATCACAGAAGGTACAAACTGGTATTTCATTGTGTTTATAGGTCAGACCAACTGACCCCTATTGATTTTACCACCCTTTACAACATGAGGTGGCACAATAACCCTGCACAATGTACATGGTTGGCAGTATGCCCATGAGTTTAACATGAAAACTTCTAACGTACATTTGATAAAAGGGCAATAACTATGCATGGAAGCCTCTGTTTCAGTTGCATGATCCAAATTTACCATAGTAGAATCACTAGCCAAGGGAACCACTGCTATGTATTCGTATGATACAGAATGCATTGGAGTTTGACACTACAAAAGTATAATAATCAGAGTCTCTTTGTACGCATGTAACAGTCGGCGGGGCTCAGGCCTGGGCAAGCGCGGGGCAGCCGACGCTCGCCGACAGGAGAAAATGGCCGACTCCGACAATAACCAAGATGGGGCCAACTCATCAGCCGCTCGCACTGATGATGCATCACAAGGGGCTTCAGGTACTTTCGCTAACAAATTAAGATTACTTATTGCAACCAGAAATAACTCAAATGTTGGAATGATGTGTGATTGGGGTGTAGCTGAACATGTACTAAGAGGTTTTTCTAAAGTAAAAGGTGAACTACTAAGATTTCTGCTCGATCTTTCTCATAATTATAGACTAGAAAAGTCAGACTAACTAACACCATGTTTTTATAATAACTCACATTGCAGTTTGAAAATGTCAGTTAATTATTCACTTCATTATTCAATTAAGCTTCCTAACTTTATTAGGAAGATGATTCAGATTTCCATTCATTTATGTGAAGATGAAAACGTTAACACAATTATGGCCATTTGATACATTGTTTTCACTTCAATAAAAAAAAATTAAAATATGAATTTTTACGGTTTATTTCCAGCGTCAAGCTCGGTTGCTGGAGCAGTGGGCATGACCACCTCTGGTGAGAGTGAGTCTGATGATTCTGAAATGGGAAGGCTTCAAGGTATGTTAAAACCACCTTAGAGATTTCTCGTATTACAAAAAAGTATTTGACCTTTTAATACATAAAGCTTTGTATGTCCTTTAGCTCTACTAGAGGCCAGAGGTCTCCCTCCACATCTTTTTGGGCCCCTGGGACCCCGCATGTCTCAACTCTTTCACAGGACCATAGGCAGTGGAGCCAGTGAGTAATGTCTTCTAACATTGACATCAGCGTTCTTGTTGCACTCAAAATATTTTAATTTAAAAAAAAAAAAATCCCTCCCTTGTTTTCAGGTTCCAAGGCTCAACAGCTTCTGCAAGGCCTCCAGGCCACAGGTGACGAGTCTCAGCAACTCCAAGCCGCAATAGAAATGTGCCAGTTGCTTGTGATGGGCAATGAGGAAACACTTGGTGGATTTCCTGTAAAAAGTGTGGTTCCTGCCTTGGTAAGTCCTATTTTCTTTGGCTGTTTAGCTTCCTGTACTCCACAGCCCTGTTTCCTGGTTTTGAAGCAGTGTCTTACCTATTCATTGTTTTACAGGGAAAAATTCCTCCCACAGTTATGTGTAATGTAAATATTGGTTGACAGAAAATTAGTTACTTTTTATTTTTTCACATGTATGCTATTTAATTCCATGTAACTGCTTGCTCTTTCGCAGATTACACTGTTACAAATGGAGCATAACTTTGATATTGTGAGTATGACTGGCTTCTGTTATTGTAAATGTCATTGGTTTATTTACTTTTTGTTTGGGGGGGGGGGGTCATGCAACTGATTATATTCACATCATTGCTCTGTGCATTCAGATGAACCATGCCTCGCGTGCACTCACTTACATGATGGAGGCCCTCCCTCGATCTTCTGCTGTGGTGGTCGATGCCATTCCTGTCTTCCTGGAGAAGGTAAAGCATGGCACTTTCTGTCAGTAATCACTTGTTAATTCATAACAGTGACCTTCTCATATCCTAATGGATTGTTCGACTTTCTTGTCTGCAGCTTCAGGTGATTCAGTTCATTGACGTAGCAGAGCAGGCCCTGACTGCCTTGGAGATGTTGTCAAGGCGACACAGCAAAGCCATTTTGCAGGCCGTAAGTGTTACGCTGTCTTTTTGTTGTGCCATTAATTTGTCTTTTCTCTGCTAGCCGCATTTAGTCGTAATGATCCTCACCTGCCATCCCTTATAGGGTGGGCTTGCTGACTGCCTCCTGTACCTGGAGTTCTTTAGCATTAATGCTCAGAGGAATGCCTTGGCTATTGCAGCCAACTGCTGCCAGAGCATTACTCCAGATGAGTTCCACTTTGTTGCTGACTCTCTGCCACTGTTGACTCAGAGACTTACTCATCAGGTACAGTTTTCATATAAAGGATACTGATCTGACATTAGCAACAACGGTACATTACGTCTGTGATTTGGGTCAAGCAGTGAGGTCATTTATTTAATGTGGTAAATCTTTTACTTATCCACCATTTATTCTCTTGCCTTTTTTTTAGGATAAGAAGTCAGTTGAAAGTACTTGTCTCTGTTTTGCCAGACTGGTGGACAACTTTCAGCATGAAGAGGTCTGTACCTCAGTTTGTTTTTGGTAGACCATGTTTGCTGTTTCAGTTGTTTCTTGCCATTTAGAGATTTGTAGTCCACATGCCCACTTAATGTACATTTATACTGTCAGTGCGCCCCAGGGTGGCTGTGGCTACAATGTAGCTTGCCATCACCAGTGTGTGAATGTGTGCGTGAATGGGTGGATGACTGGATATGTAAAGCGCTTTGGGGTCCTTAGGGACTAGTAAAGCGCTATATAAATACAGGCCATTTACCATTTATGCAAGACCATTTATGCATCTCCGTTCAAATCAACAGAACCTGTTGCAGGAGGTGGCATCAAGGGACCTGTTGACAAACATCCAGCAGCTGTTGGTAGTGACTCCTCCTGTGCTCAGCTCGGGGATGTTCATCATGGTTGTGCGCATGTTTTCACTTATGTGCTCCAACTGTCCATGCCTGGCAGTCCAGCTTATGAAACAGAGTGAGTAACATTTGCACATAGGCCACACATTAGTAGGCCCTCTGACAGTATTGGCTTTTTCCTTTTTGGTTTTACAGTGTATTTACTTTACGGGATAGGATATTTTTAATAGATTTAAGACGTGCTAGTTACTAGATACAGTTTGGTAACTTGTTTCCCCCCACCAAATTACTGAAATCCAAATTATGACTGCCTGTCAATAGTGGTCCTGCTAACAGCTACATCAACCTACATGATAAAGCTTTTCATTTGCTGTTTCTCATCTTGTGAACTTGCAGTCTTTATTTGCCAGCAAACTAAACAGATGTGACACTAAACATGTACTTAATGCTATTTTTGTGAACGTTTGCAATCCTATGGCTCTTTGTAAATGATTTAAAAAGAATTGCCATGTCTTGAAATTAATTTATTTTATTCATTGCGCAACCCATTGATTTATTTTTATCAGTAGTGTTATTATGGTGTGTATGAACTTGAAACATAACACTTAACAGAGAAAATGTTTGTTTTTATCTGTTTTTCCTTCTAATTAGACATAGCAGAAACTCTGCGTTTCCTTTTGTGTGGAGCGTCAAATGGCAGCTGCCAGGAACAGATTGAACTGGTACCCCGGAGCCCCCAGGAGCTCTACGAGCTGACCTCACTCATATGGTATTGTTAAGGCCACACTGGGCAGTGTGGCAAAAATTAAAGACTAGCAGACATACAGACACCTGAGCAATGTTTTTATTTTGTTTGCTGCATATAGTTTATCAAAACTATGGGCGTGTGTGTGTGTGTGTGTGTGTGTGTGTGTGTGTGTGTGTGTGTGTGTGTGTGTGTGTGTGTGTGTTACTAAACGTGCATATCTTTCTCATGTAATTTAAGGAATCTTCATTAAAACAACAGCTTATTACTTTGTGGCATTTTTGTCTATAACATTTTTGTTGCATTGGGTAACCTCTGTATTTTCCCTTTCAGTGAGCTGATGCCCTGCTTGCCCAGAGAAGGCATCTTTGCAGTTGATGTAATGCTTAAGAAGGGCAGTGTCCAGACAACAGAGGGAGCAATCTGGCAGTGGAGGGATGACCGGGGACTGTGGCATCCTTACAACCGCATTGACAGCCGCATTATTGAGGTACACATTACTGTGTTGTTATTATTATGTTATGTCATATCAGTTTAGTCATCGTTGAAATTTTATTTATTTTGTAATATATTATAATGATTTAGTAGGATGCTACAATAAATTTGGATAACTAAAGAATGAATAATGGGTCGACTTTTAAACCTTGTGTCAGAATATTTAATGTGTTAGGATCATGTGTGGGTATAGATCTGTATATCTCTCACTGATATTGGGTGTGGTTGTCTTGCTCTGCAGACAGCCCACCAGAACGGGGAAGATGAGATCAGCTTGTCAACCCTCGGCCGCGTATACACAATTGACTTCAACTCTATGCAGCAGATCAATGAAGACACGGGAACAGCACGTGGTATCCAGAGGAAACCTAACCCTCTTGCTAACCCCAACACAGGTATTTTACTAATGATATGTGACGAAGATATGTGTGAAGAGGAGTGTATTTTAGCAGAGAATAGAATGGGAACAAACTCCTTGGGTTGACTTATTTTAGCCTTGTAAAAGGAAAAGTCCTTTGAAAATCTAAATAAGCTCTCAGTGCCTAATGAATGAAGATTTATTTATTTTTTGTCTTGTGAGGGTGGTAGCTATAATCAGCTTGGAGGCGCACAGCTATATTTCTAGCAGTGACAGGTTAACGGCCCAAAAAAATAAAAGCAAAAAAAATTCCCTGAAACAATTCCTTCGTTGTTAAATGCAATGTTTGGTATGCTTCATTGAAATTGAATTTGTTTGCTTCAGTACACACTGTAAGCTTAACAGTTACTCAGAAAAATGGCAATAACAATAGTTCAGCTAGTGCTAGTATGGTCGGACACATTAGCTAAACTTAAATTTTGTAGCTACTGCTGTTATTATAGCTTAAGGATAGTGTGTGTGTGTGTGTGTGGGGGGGGGCTTTACAGCTTCCTAATTGGCTACAGCAAAAAGAGAACTAAACTATGACCCAAACAGTGAGGTATATACTAAACAACTACTATACTCTACTACAGACCCCTGAAATATTTCATTTTATCATTATGCAGTTACTGAGTGCATATAGTTAATGGCATTAATCTGACCCGTTCCATGTCTATCATTAGGCAGCCACCAAGAGGTCCGTCGTGAAGATGCACGAGCCCAGTTGATGAAGGAGGACCCTGAGCTGGCAAAGTGCTTTATCAAAACTCTGTTCGGGGTCTTGTATGAGGTGTACAGCTCATCAGCTGGCCCAGCTGTCAGACACAAGTGCCTTAGAGCCATCCTCAGGATCATCTACTTTGCTGATGCAGAGCTGCTGAAGGATGTGCTGAGGAACCATGCTGTGTCCAGGTAAGAGTCTAGGCTACTGGCTCCTGTTAGCACTGATATTAAATCTGGTTGTGGTCTTACAGTAGGCTAAAGATGTTGGAAAGGAAGAATTTTAAAGAAACAACAGGGCCAGTGTTGGGATTTTAAATTAAATTGACCTTTGTCTTGTGTTTATTTCTACAGTCACATTGCCTCCATGCTATCTAGTCAGGACTTGAAGATTGTAGTGGGTTCACTGCAGATGGCTGAGATCCTCATGCAGAAGCTCCCAGATGTTTTCAGTGTTTATTTCAGAAGAGAAGGTAGTGTATGATCCCATGGAGAACTGTGGTTTCTTATCTGTTCATCACACCATTAAGACAGTATAAGCGTTTTGTAAAAGAAGTATGCTCTGAAGCTGTCACTTTGTGTTAGTTTTTTGTATGATGTCATAGCTAAATTAATGTTTGTGGATGCAAATTGTTAAAGCTTTAAATGCAAAGATTTTTTTAAATAAGATAGTAAAATGTGACAGTTAAGGCTGACTTTACCTAAAACTTTAATATATTGAAAGTGTGGCAATGGTGCATTGATGCTAATGGTTTCCTTTGCATTTTTTTCCCTGATGCATTATTCCTTAAATTGCCTGAAATGTGAATTGAGTCCCAGTCCTCAGCCAGAGCTCTATGCTGGCGTGGAGCTCTGTATTGTGCTTCTTTTTTTAAGGCTTTTTTTTTTTGCAATACTTTCTTTTTGTCTTCAAGGTGTCATGCACCAAGTGAAGAATTTGGCAGAGTCTGAGAGCTTTTTGGTCACTAGTCCTCCAAAGGCTTGCCCTAGTGGCACCGCCAGTCTCTGCACTACCACCATCAGCACTGCATCCACCACATCTGCTAATAATACAACTCCTGACCTGGGCTCACCCAGCTTCCAGCACAGCATGGACGACTCGCTGGACCTCAGCCCTCAAGGGTGAGTTTGAGGCCATATGTGGCTTTGGTTTGGCTATCTAAGGAAACGATATAAATCTGTTTTTTTTGTTTTTTGTTTAGCAAAGCCAAACATCCAGTGTGTATTTGGAAGAAAAGCTCATAAACACAAAGTACTTAAGTCATTAAGAGCAAATATTGTTGTCAAATAGTTGCTCAACTACTTAAAAATGTAAACGGAGCACAGATAATGTATATTGTCTGCAATTAATACATGTTACTATTTATCAAAGCATTATAGGGTATGTATGTATGTCTGTAGTTAATGGAAGAGCAAATATCTTTATAAATAACCACAAGAGCATGAAATAAATAACTTTCTCTTGCACATAGGCGGTTAAGTGATGTCTTAAAAAGGAAACGACTACCTAAAAGAGGACCTAGAAGGCCCAAGTACTCGCCACCAAGAGATGATGATAAAGTAGACAATCAGGGTGAGTGTCCCAGACACACTTTGAGACACAAATGTTATAATAATTTTGTTGAAAAAGTTCTGAACCATACTCTTGAACTCAGATCAGTATGAGACTAATTATATTATACAGATTGACAATATTATTTTAATGTGTTTTTGCACATTTGTTACTGTTTTGATGCATATGTTAAAGCAGGGGTGTCAAACATTTGCAGGCCACATGCAGCTCACTTTGATCTTAGGTGCTGTCAACACTGTACACAATGCAGAATGGTGCGTAACAAGAAAGCAAAATAGGCAGAAAAATATCATCATCAATTTTTGATGGAAAACTGATCTGGAAGCACACTGAGAGCAAGAGAGCTGTGCAGGAAGTGTGGTGTGGATTTTTCTTTTGTTTGTTTTGGTTGGTTGTTTTTGTTTTTTCCCTGTTAATACAAGGGTAAGATAAAATTCATGACAATGTTTTTTCAAACGTCTTCTTTTGCTGCTGGTTCAGTGAATTTTTGTCAGAGGGTGCGAAACTTGCGGTTTCAGAATCTCTGAAATGTCGGTTTTCAGCTCCTGGGGGCACATCTGTGTACGTGCCGTCGGGTGAACGAGCCCACTTTGTGTTTGCATCTTTTTGCGGAATCGGTTTACCTGCTCTTTGGTCATTTGGTTTTTTAGCGGTTTAGTGGTTTTGAATCCATTTTGTAGGCTTTTATCTGAGATTCTGAGATCTGTATTAAATTACAGATCTGGGAGTAAAACCAGATGTTCTCCCTTTCACCTCTGGGGGCATTGGGGTTCAACAGGTTAATTGTTTATTGCTTAATTACTTTGTATAGTATGAATAGCCATGAGGGAGGTTTTTTTTTGTTAGTAGGAAAAGTTGTAAAACTTTTGAAAATACAGTCAAGTCTAGAACTTCTGCTTGTGCTTGCTTGTGGTGAGCAGCAGATCAAAGAAGTTAAGAATTATAAATCACTTCCTTAGCTGTGAGACTCATTTAAACACTGAGCCATGGCTCTGTGCCACATGCAGACATTTTTGCATCTCTTCCATTCAAAAACACTTTATATAATTTATTTTATGTAATACTTAACACTGAACTGTGAATGTAATACTTTTTAAGGAAGCACATTTTTTTCGTTCCATTTTTCGTTTTCCATTTCAAAAAGCCTTATTTTTATGGATTTTTTTCTTCTGCAAATGAGGTTTAAGGCCTGGAGAGTTGAAACCTTTTGTCCTCCACAATGGAAAATGGCTGAAAATAAAAGCATGTATCACTTTATCCAGCTCCTAATGTCATGCAGCCTGTGCTCGTTTCTTCATTTCCTGACTGTCTCTCTGTGTACCTGGTCTGCACCACTACACTTGCTGTCTTGGGAACATCTACCTCCCTTCCTCCTTTTCACACAATGGGATGATCCCAGTCTGTCTTTGCATTTGATTGGCTGGATTGCCCATCAAAATAAAGTCCCACCCCCTGCCTGCATGGATTCTCAGCAGGGCTGAAGTTTCGGCTCCTATGTACAAACGTACCATTAATAACTGACACGTGAAATTATCTAGCGGGTCGGATATAATTGTAGGGCTGTACATTTGACATCCCTGTGTTAAAGTAATACCTGCCGGCTAATATTTACAGTGTTGATCAGAACCTGTTGGTGTACAGTAACTTTTGGTACACTGAATTGTTTAGTCATAATTTTTTTTTTTTGTATTAAAAAAACCCCCAAAACCAACCCCAAATGAGCTAAATCTATAATAATCAAATATTTTTTATGTTGTTAGTTGATAATTCTCCTGTTCTTCCTTTCAGCTAAGAGCCCTACCAGTACTCAGTCACCCAAATCATCCTTCTTGGCCAGTCTCAATCCCAAGACATGGGGCAAGCTGGGTGCTCAGACCAACAATGCCAACTCTGAGCCCTCGCGCACAGCAGGAGTGAGTGGCCTCGCAAGGGCCCCTCCCAAGGACTCAATTTCAAATAACCGGTACGGTTGTGAGTTAACGACGACAGCTTAGCTTTGTCTTTACTCCTATATTATCCAAATCTCCCGCCATGGGCTAAACCATCGTCCTTAACAAGTGAATTATTTATTTTGTCATTTGTAGAGACAAAATTAAGGCCTGGATCAAAGACCAAGCGACTAAGTTTGTGGAGCGCTACTTCAACTCTGAAAATGTGGATGGCAGCAACCCCGCACTGAATGTCCTCCAGAGACTTTGCACAGCCACCGAGCAACTCAACCTCCAGGTAAAACATGAGCGCTACCTCGAAAAAGAAGTTATTGAACAGATAGCAACACCTTGTACAGGGTTGGTTTGTTTGTTTGTTTGAGGTTTTAAAGTTATAAGATGTATTCCAAGAAGAAGATGGTAGTTGTACTTGTTGAGTACAAAGTAACTATCAATAGTTAAACCCCATACCTGAAATATTTTATCATCTGATGCATTTCACAGGTGGACGGTGGTATGGAGTGCTTAGTGGAGATCTCCAGTATTGTGTCAGAATCTGATGTGTCGTCTTTTGAGATCCAGCACAGTGGGCTGGTGAAGCAGCTGTTGGTCTACCTGACCGCCAACACAGACAGAGAATTGCTGAGTCGTGATGTGCGGCTCAAAAGGTTCCTCCATGTGTTCGGTGGCTGTCCGGTGAGACTAAAACATATATTATTGTTAAATTATCTTATTCTGCTCAAGTCTGAAAGTTCTGCAGTGATCTGTTTTTAGAATCAACGGTTTTCTCTAATAAATGTGTTTTACAGGAAGATGGTGGAAGCATGTTTGCTGGGTTTGTTTCTAACTTTTTATTTTTAAATTCCCCCATTTTGTCTCAGCCTCCAGGAATGGAGCCCATAGGTCGCCTGGATCTAGCTGAGAATGCACCTTACTTGGCCATGGTGCACAAGATGAACAGCTGTCTGAGCCAAATGGAGCAATTTCCTGTCAAGGTGCACGATTTTCCCAGTGGCAACGGCAATGGCAGCAGGTCTGTGGCTTTACGTACATTTTGTTTCCAGCTGTTTGTGCACATTTTGGTGTGGTGTACTCTTTTTAATTGATATGAATCTCCCACTCTCTCCTCAGGGGGTCTCAGGCACTCAAGTTCTTCAACACACATCAGCTTAAGTGTCAGCTGCAGAGACACCCAGATTGCACTAATGTTAAACAGTGGAAAGGGGGACCTGTAAAGATCGACCCTCTGGCTCTGGTGCAAGCCATTGAGCGGTATCTTGTTGTCAGAGGTGAGAGACATTTGCAGAATGTTTACGTCAACTTGTGCTTCAACCCCACTGCAGGGCACTTTGCATTGTCCAAGAGACCAAACGTTTTTCAGCTGTTAGCCATTTTTCAGAACTCGCTGTTAGGTTGCATTGTAAATTTAAAATCTTGTCTCCACAGGATACGGCCGAATCAGGGAAGAAGACGAAGACAGTGATGATGATGGCTCAGATGATGAAATAGACGAATCACTGGTATGCGATTCCATTCATGCCAAATAATGGTTGTGCGTGTGCTTCTATATAATCCTCTGTAGATATGCATCTTTTTAATCCCTCCTATGTGATTTCTTGATTACTCAGGCGGCTCAGTTTTTGAATTCAGGCAGCGTACGTCACAGACTGCAGTTCTACATTGGTGACCACCTGCTACCGTACAACATGACGGTGTACCAGGCTGTGCGGCAGTACAGTCTGCAGGCAGAAGAAGAACGGGAGTCAACAGATGATGAGGCAAACCCACTTGGCCGAGCTGGCATCTGGACCAAAACGCACACAATATGGTATAAATAACCACTTTTTATACCAACTAAATATCTCATGACAATCAAGATTCAAAGTCTCTTAAAGGGTTTGGGGGGGTGTGATCGTGGCTCAGGGGGTTGGGAAGTGCATCTGTAACCGGAAGGTCGCCGGTTCGATACCCGGGCTCTGTCCTGGTCGTTGTGTTCTTGGGCAAGACACTTTACTCTACCGCCTACTGGTGTTGGCCAGATGGGCCGATGGTGCGATATGGCAGCCTCGCTTCTGTCAGTCTGCCCCAGGACAGCTGTAGCTTGCCTCCACCAGTGTGTGAATGTGAGAATGAATGAATAGTGGCATTGTAAAGCGCTTTGGGTGCTTTGAAAAGCGCTATATAAATCCAATCCATTGTTTGTTGTTTTAAATATTGGAGTTTACTGCTTTAGTTGCTCTAGGTCAGAGTGACAGGGAAAAGGCATGAAACAGCCACTTAAAACCATTGAAGATCCTTTACAGAGGCTTGCAACACACCAGGATGCCCCGCTTTTCAAAGACGTATTCTTCTCTATGGCCTTTTAGAAGTAAAACTGGGACTGTACATGCTTTTTTTTTTGTTTTTCTTAAAGCATGGAGACCATTTTCTTTTTTATCCTGTAAACAGGTATAAGCCTGTGAGGGAGGACGAGGATGGAAGCAAAGATGCTGTGGGTGGCAAGAGAGGCAGAGCCCAGACTGCTCCCACCAAAACCTCACCCCGCAACGCCAAGAAGCAGGATGAGCTGTGGCATGGTGAGAATTTTGGATATCTCAGGAGTAAGGCTTTGTTCGTTTTACATTAAAACCTCACCTGCTGGCTATGAAATACTTGATGTCACTGACATTGAAATGTCAAGCAGGCCACACACTTGTACATCTGACATTTGATGTCACCTTTGCAAAGTTTAACTGTGAAATCAAAAAGCAAGTGAGCGGATCTGTGGTCTTATTGTTCAGTTTCTACTGAATCTAAATGTGTATGTTTTGATTAAAACTATTCCCATTGCTCCCAGATGGTGTATGTCCCAGCGTCATCAATCCCTTAGAGACATACCTCACTTCGGAGCCACCAGAGACCATAACTTTTGATGACCCTTCTTTAGAGGTCATCCTGCTGCTGAGGGTCCTGCACTCCATCAGTAGATACTGGTTCTACCTGTATGATGTAAGTCTCCTTTGGACAGGATTCTGACAGTGAGGAAGTTAGTGTGTGTTTGTTTCTGATAGTTTTGAACACCAAATATTGTCCTTAAGAAAATGTTTTCACAGGCCTTTACACAATTAGGATTGTTCATTGTGTTGGGACATAAAATATTCCAGTAACATTGACTTTAATATTTTGTTGTACAGAACGCTGCGTGTAAGGAAATTATCTCTACCAATGAGTTCATTAACAGTAAACTGACAGCCAAAGCCAATCGTCAGCTGCAAGACCCTCTGGTCATCATGACTGGGAACATCCCCACGTGGCTCATTGAGCTTGGGAAGTCCTGGTAAGTTTCACAAGAATAGTCTGTGATCTGTTTTGCAACGCCAAGATTACATTTGTTGGGGTTGTTGCCTGGCTGTAGTAACACACTTTTCTCTCTCTTTTCCTCTGCAGCCCCTTCTTCTTCCCCTTTGACACTCGGCAGATGTTATTCTATGTAACCGCCTTTGACCGTGACAGAGCAATGCAGCGCTTGTTGGACACAAACCCTGAGATCAACCAGTCAGATTCTCAGGACAGCAGAGTTGCACCACGTCTGGACAGGAAAAAGGTGCAGTGTGTTACTTCGAAGCATTGTGCTGTACTTTTTCTACCTTGGAATCCACATCTTGTGTCGTGTGACCTGCTAAATGTGATCACGTGATTCCCTCTGTTATGCTGTGTTTTCAGAGGACGATAAACCGCGACGAGCTCCTAAAACAGGCAGAGTCTGTGATGCAGGATCTCGGCAGCTCCAGGGCAATGCTCGAGATTCAGTATGAGAATGAGGTATTTAAGTTTCTCGTATCTGAATACTCAAACTCTGAAAGAAAATAGGAGGAAAGTTTGGACTTTGTTTTCCCTCTCCTTTTCAGGTGGGCACAGGTCTCGGTCCCACTCAGGAGTTCTACGCTCTGGTGTCTCAGGAGCTTCAGCGCGCCGATCTTGGTCTTTGGAGAGGCGAAGAGGTTACTCTGGCCAATCCTAAAGGTACCAGCTTATATCCTGCAACTGTGAACAGACGTGCGGGAAATGATGAAAAGTGTTGTTAAATGACGCGAGTCTGTTAATACAAAACTCATTATCGAGGTAGTCTTCATCTCATTAGTCAGGCGTTCATGAAAGTGCTTAAGTTTGGTTTTTGAAGGATGTCGTTATTTAGGGGCCACTGATTTTAATTGATCAGTTTTCCCAAGAAGATATGACTGGAAGCGAGAAATGCATTTTTATTCATATTTAATGTTACAGTATCTTGTATTAACTTTCAGTGACCGCCTTCTTGTTTTGCAGGAAACCAAGAGGGAACCAAGTACATGTTCAGCTCCAGAGGACTGTTTGCTGTTCCCTTCGGCAGGACGACCAAACCAGCGCACATAGCCAAAATCAAAATGAAGTTCCGTTTCTTAGGAAAGCTAATGGCTAAAGCCATAATGGACTTCAGACTGGTAACGGCCTCAATTTTCATCTCTTGCACACCGTTTAGCATGCGGAGGCTGTAAACATTTACATGTTAAAACAAACTTTCTGACCTGATCCTGTCCTCCTCCGCGTCTTTAGCTGGATCTGCCCTTGGGGCTGCCATTTTATAAGTGGATGCTACGGCATGAGATGTCTATAAGCTCCCACGACCTGGTGAACATTGATCCCGGTGTTGCCAAGTCAATCCAACACTTGGAGGATATTATCCGCCAAAAGAAGAGGCTGGAGCAAGACCGATCACAGGTAGAGCGCAGAGAGCTTGTGTTTAATGAAATTAGCCCAGAGTATTGTTCTGTGGAACGATGCCTCTAAACTTACTTAGAGATACTGCTGTTGGTAGTGCTCCCCCTTCTTTGTACATATTTTGGTGTCTCTTACCTTTAGATCATACTTTATACCCAGAGCAGTTCTCCCTCACTTTTCTCTGCTAACCTGTTTGTCCTCGTTTGTTTCCATCAGACAAGGGAGACGCTACAGCAGGCTCTCGAGAGCCTGAACATGAATGGCTGCTCAGTGGAGGACCTGGGTTTGGACTTCACCCTTCCAGGATTCCCAAATATTGAGCTGAAAAAGGGCGGCAAAGACGTCCCAGTCACAATCTACAACCTGGAGGAGTACCTCAGGGTATTTGAGTTTTTCTAACAACCCACGCTTTTATCAATCCCCCCCGTCCCCACTGTTCTTAATGTTTTGCTTTGTCCCTGTAGTTGGTGGTGTACTGGACTCTAAATGAGGGAGTGTCCAGACAATTTGAGTCTTTTAGGGAAGGGTTTGAGTCGGTCTTCCCGTTACATCACCTGCAGTATTTCTACCCAGAGGAGGTAAGAAACTTTGTTTTGTTTACTGCGTGGTAGTCATTTTAAATCTATCTGTAATGATGAAATTCAGCAGTTTTCAACAGTGTGTCAGCATTGCTTACAGCCGCACTCGGTGTGTTTTTAGGAATGCAGGGTAGACAAAAATGGGTCAAATATAGACACGAGTTGTTTACACTTTTGGTAAAGTAAATCCTGTGCTCATAGTTTGGATTTTCTCCTTCCGTTCTCACTTTAACATTTAGCTTGACCAGTTGCTGTGTGGCAGTAAATCGGAGACGTGGGATGTCAAGACGCTGATGGAGTGTTGTCGACCGGATCACGGATACACACATGACAGGTGAGACAGTCTGTGGCTCTTAAGTTTTAGATCGTTGTAAATCTCAGCATTCTTCAGTATTTATGCGAAGAATTTGGCTGATGGTGGCAAAGCATGATCAATTCCACATTCCTGGCTCTTACTGGAAATATCGTGACTCTCGTTTCTAGTAAACAGAACCCACAGTGCAGTCAGCTAGTTGCACCAGTTTTACCATCATTGCAAAGCAGAGGAGTATTTTTGATCATTTTAGTAACACAGTAACTTTTCTCAACCATTTCATCCCGTTTTTGCAGCCGTGCAGTTCGATTCCTGTTTGAGGTGTTGAGCAGCTTCGATGCCGAACAGCAAAGACTCTTTCTGCAGTTTGTCACAGGAAGCCCAAGACTGCCTGTCGGAGGTGAGGCGCATCATACACACACGCACACCCATTTAATGAGCCTGACATGTGACTCTTAATCAAATAAACTCGGATGTGTTTGTACTGCAAGTCTGCCCCGCGCTCACCCGCTGTTGCCCTTGCACGGCAGGTTTCCGGAGCCTGAACCCACCTCTGACGATTGTGAGGAAGACGTTTGAGTCGACGGAGAATCCAGACGACTTCCTCCCCTCAGTCATGACCTGCGTCAACTACCTGAAGCTGCCTGACTACTCCAGCATAGAGATCATGCGAGAGAAACTGTTGATTGCGGCTCGCGAGGGCCAGCAGTCTTTCCACCTTTCCTGATCTCGCCACATCTCAACATTAAAATGCCTTCTACAGCAGCCGATGAAATCATGACTTCCTCCTTAGTTTTTTTGTAATCACACACATTAAGGCTACATGTACAGCCTTCTTGTTAGAGAAAGCAGCTTGCAGAAAAATTAAGACTCTAAATATATATTTGCTGCCCCTGTCTCTCAAAAAAAGGAGGGGAAAAAAAAAAGAAAAATGGAAGGGTGTTCCATGACGCAGAACTTAAAATATAAAGAGAGTAAAATCTTATATCAGTAGTTGAGTAATGTTAAAAAAGATGAAAACATCTGGGTGACATTTTAAATTGCTATGTGATATTTAAACAAGACAAAAAAGACAAAAAAAAAAGGGATGTCTCCTCTCCAGAGTGGTGGACAGCATCACTGGGTGACGGGGGAGGAAGGGGAGCGGAGAGGGCGGGTTCCATTGAGCAAGCTAGGTTTACTTTAGCTCCAAAGATCATTTGTACAGACAAATTTGCAGACTTTGCTCATTCTACACATTTGATAGAATAGCTCTTTGTTTTCACGTCTCCCCCTCAGTTCGACTGTTCGCGTTCTGTTCTGTATTATATTCGCCCCCAGTTCGTGTGTTGCATTATTGTTATTATAATTTTTTATTTTGATTTGGTTCGGCTTCCCCCTCCCCCCAGTGTGTCTTTGCTTCAAGTTGTGGAAATGAAAGTTGCAGTTGGTTGAATGCGGGTAGTGATGAGCTCATATTATCTTTTTTTTTTTTTTTTTTTTTCCCCCCCCTCTCGCTCTCTCTCCCTCTGCTCCTTCTGAGATTGTGTTCTGGCCTCATTTCCGAGAGCTTCAGCTCAAATGAAGAGTTGTAACTAATGTGTTGACCAGGTAAAAAATTTTTTTGCTCTTATTTTAATAGAGTTGGTGTCTTTCTGTTGGATCCTACCGGACGCGTAGGGTTATCTTGGTAGACCAAGCTCTGAGCAACCCTCAACACATAATGTAGCTGGGCACAAAGTTTGGCTGGTCTCATTTTTATCGTTTCATAGCCAGATTAGCATTTCAAGTTCATTTTCTGGAATAAAATATATATGCAGTTTCACACCCCGTTTGAAGTGGGAATGTCTGCTTTACCTCTTTTCTCTTTTTTTTTCTTTTTTTTTTCTTTTTTTAATTTTCTATATTGTCTTTATTTCTTGCTGTAGTGGTTTTTTTTCTTTCTTTTTTTTGTTTTTTTTTCTTTGCACTGCTGGCTTGGAACAAACTGTGGTGTGCACCTGCAGTCTGTTGCCAGGGGAGGGCGCCACTGTATGCTCTCCTGGCCCCAACGTTCATGTGCTGGTTTCTAAGATCTGCAATAATTTACTGCATCAGGTTCATGTTTTTACCTGAACATAAATAAAGTAACTGTTTGACTCATATTACCGTTTGACTAATGCTCTTTGCCATTGCTTTGGCATGTTGGAACCAGCTGGGTTATTTCATAGTTCTTAAACAGTTTTCAGAGGTTCCCCCAAAGCTCAATGTTTTTCAACACCTGTCATTCTGGATCACAGGACTCCACGGTTTCCTGGTGGAAATGATTTGCTGTGGAGACGGTAACCATTTACAGGTCGCCTGTTGGGCATGGTTTGACAACAAAAGAGCTTAGCTTTAGATTTAACGTTGCATAAGATGTGTTTGGAACACAAAGCCATTTTCCATTTTGGACGTCTGTTTGTAGAAAATGGTTTCATTGATTAAAAATGTAAAAACAAAACATGTTGGTTTCATCTGACGAACATCTCCGTGGACTGATGTTTAAACGTCAACCTCTCTTCACGAGCTCTGCCTGCAGCAATGCCAGTGTTCAGAGCCACTTGGTGCAGTGTGAGGTGAAAATGTTCACCTCACACTGGCACCAGTGGACATTCATTATGGAAATGGGGAAGGTTGAGGCCAGGATGACATAGACAGCAGAAAGGTTTTGTATTGATCACATTGAGCATGCTGCAACAACCTGCAGCTGTTTTAAATGACTGACGGCATCAATCTTACATTATGGACAAGGTCAAGGACTGTTACAACTTTTGATTTCACGGCATAGGAAACGGATGTGTGCTTTAATATTTCTCCTGAATTACACTTTCCATGTTATTAGTTTTGATGACTAAAAAAAATTTATATTTGTAATAAATAAAAGATCTGCTCAAATTCAAAGGTAACCCTGACACTTAGGATATTTGTCTCTTTCAAAGCCTGACTTGAGTTGCCAGTATAGTTGCAGGGGTGGGCAATTCCAGGCCCCAAGGGCCGGTGTCCTTCAGGTTTTTAGATCTCACCTTGGGTCAACACACCTGAATCACATGATTAGTTCGTTACCAGGCCTCTGGAGAACTTCAAGGCACGTTGATGAGCTAATTTAGCCATTTAGATCAGCTGTGTTGGTTCAAGGACACATCTAAAACCTGCAGGGACACCGGCCCTCGAGGCCTGGAGTTGCCCACCCCTGGTAAGGTCTAGAGTTTGAGTACATGATAAAGGCAGGTATCGATCTCTTGTTCCTCATACTAAAGTTTTGGATGTACAGTGCAGCAATGCTTCATTTGTTCCATATTCTGTCATGTTATTCCAAAATAGATGAAACTTGTTTTTCACTTCAAACTTTGACACTTGAGCCCGTAATAACAAAGTAGAAAGACGTTTGCTTAACATTCTTGCAAATTTATAAAAAAATATAACATGTACATAGTATTCACAGCCTTTGTCATGACACTCAAAATGGATCTCTGGAGCATCCCCATAAGAGCACAAGAGGACCAATGAATTGTGTGTAAACCTCAGAGACAGGATTGTGCCGAGGCACAGATCTGGGGAAGAGTACAGAAACGTTTTTGCACCACTGAGGGTGCCGATAAGCACGGTGGCAACATCATCCATAAATTAAAGTTTCTGTAACCACCAGGACTCTTCAAACAGAAGCCGCCACATGGCAGCCTGCAGGGAGTTTACCAAAAGGTACCTGAAGGACTCTCAGACCATTAGAAACAACAACTCTTTAGCGTGAATGCCAAGCGTCAGGTCTGGAGGAAACCAGGCACCAATCATCACCTGACCATTACCATCCCTACAGTGTGGCATGGTGATGGCAGAGAAACTGAGAGACTAGACTGGGTCGAGGGAAGGATGAATGCAATATTATACAGAGACATCCTTGATGATAACCTTGAGCGCTCTCGACCTCTGGACTGGGGCAAACGTTCATCTTCTAACAGCACGCCAACTCTAAGCACGTAGCGTCCATCCTGTAGATTATTGCCATCTTGTGGTCGCAGTCAGCTATTGTCTCTGAAGACTGCAGTCTCTTATTTTGGCCTCATAAGAAACTGCAGCTCCCCATGTCCTGTAAACCTTGACTGGACCTGAGCGAATTGAGAGGTATTCGGGACACTAAATTGAATTGAAGACCGCCTCGCTTCCACGTGATTTATGACCTCAGTAAACTTTTCCTTTTTTCGAGTTTACGTTTGAAGTCTTATTTTTAAAGCAGGTGCTTCAGATTCTGCGATTTATAATTTAAAGTGAAACGAATGGTCTCAGTGAGACCTGCTGATCTCTGTCTTCAAAGAGATGGAAACAGCTGGACTGTGATGTCATTGAGGTGCTGTCCGTTTTTTATTTACAGTCTATGTCCTGACCGTAACTATAGCTTGCTCAGGTGCGGTCACGTGGGTAATCTTTTCGTTATGTCCACAGCTGTCAGGTTGTCATACTTCCTGTAATCAATATATTGGCTTTGACATCGACCGCTACATGAACATGATCAACTGTAATCACCTACTGCAGGATTTTGAACAACAAAGAACTGCATCATATTAAAAACCATGTCTGCTCAAAGTAAAATCTACCCCAAAAGAGAACTGATGGCAACATTTTAAACACATTTCTTGGCACAATTCACTGATGCTCTTAAAGCTAAAAAGCAAGGGATTTGAACTCATTTTAAAACAGCTCTAAACATGTCTGTGCTGTTGTGATTTGGGAGGCCTAAATAACCCTTACTTTCAGTTTTATCTATGCACACTTTTTTGTTACAGAACTTTATGGATTAAGTTTTCGGAGCATGCCAGCCAAACTCGATCAGCATGATTTTGCAGTATTCAAGCCCAGAATGCATTATCTCCCTTATGGTAATGCTGCCTGTTATCACTCGAAAGCAGCCAATCTTTTGGCAAAGCTGATGAGTTTTCTCACCAACCCCTCCTTCTCTGCTTTCCTTCCTCCCTGCCTCCTTGGAGGCCAAACTCCAAGAAGAGGATATGGATGATGAGACTCTAAATGAGGAAGGTGCAGTGCTCCTCTTCACTGTTTTTCTGCACAGTGAAGGCAAGCCAGGAGAGGGAGTGTGCATGAAGTTGGTGATGATGATGAGGAGGGGGTAGCGGAGGATGGTGTGTGTGTGTGTGTGTGTGAGAGAGAGAGTGAGTGTCGTCAGCAATCATCGTCACTGTGACTCGGAGGCAGAAAGAAGCAGAGAGCCCTCCCCTTCTCCTCTCGCATCCCTACCTTCTCTCCATCAGCCAGTCTCCTCTCAGTCATTCTACCCGCGCACAGCTGAGCCTCAGCATCCAACCAGCCTGCCTCCTCCTCCGCCCCTCTCTCGCTCTCTCCTCCTTTCACACACACCACACACACATTTCTCATATACCTCTCAGTTGCTGCTGAGCCCGGTCAACAGGAGCAGCAGCTCTGAGCAAAGACGCAAAAGAAACAACACAGCCTTTTCCCCCGCACCCCCCCCCCCCACCCCCAAAACAAAGAAAAGAAAAGAAAACCAGACTAAGAGGATCAGGATGAGGATGAGTGTGTTCAGTGTGCCGGCAGTTCCTTGTTGCCGTCCCACAAAGAACGCAGGGAGCTTCACGTCCCCCCTGCTTCTCACTGTCCTGCTCCTGACCAGCGGCAGCAACAGCAGCAGCATCGGGGCCGTCCCCTCTCCGTTCCAGCTGGCCCCGGACACCCCGGCACCGGCCGAGCCCACCCCGACCCAGGCGACACCTCGTCCAGACCCCTGCGAAGGCAGACCCTGCCTCAACGGGGGATTCTGCTTGGCCCTCCTCCCCTCGGCAGGCAGGCCAGAGGACATCTGGGAGTACGCGTGTACGTGTAACCAGGGCTTCACTGGACGCAACTGTGAGGTATTTAATTTTTTAACCTTTTGCTTCCTGTGTTGTCACACGATGGACTGTGAGCAGTCCCCGTAAGCGATGCTTTTGCTGGAGAAGATTTCACATACTTAGTGAGCAGGAAGTGGAGGTCAAGGAGTAGCCGGTGCAAGTTTGGCAATTTTGTTGGTCATGTGGAGAAAACTGGCACCAGTTGTGTCACTTTCTGTAAAATCACGGTGGGAAAATGTAGTTTAGTTTGGTTTAGTGCGCACTTATGTTATTATAACTAATTGTTTTCAGTTGTGGGAACTTTCACTGCTATTTTAGGATCATAATCGAGGCTTCACCAAAGATGACGTCAATGACAAACCTGCATCATGTGTCCGTGTTATTTCTACGTGCGCCTTTACACTAGATTAGGCTGAGGGTACACTGCGTTGTAGTGCTCCCCGCTGTTTGCCGATGGTGATTTAATCAAAGCATGTGCTATCGCAGAGACATGGAGACGAGTGCTGCGTTGCTGTGGCAACAGGAGGGAAGAGCGGCAGCAGTGCGATGCAAGCGAAAACTATAAATGTGTGTATTTTTATCTGTACCATATATGAAGCGTATATAAGTAGTTTATTATATGTTATAAAACATTATTTTGATGTTATTTATGTGAACTGCAAAGTTACAGTTAACATTGAATTTATCTGCTGCACACTAGTGAGCATGTTCACTGGGGTGTAAACTCAAGTATGGGTGAATTTATTAACACCAGGGATGCAGAGCCACACCGAATTCATTAACTACATCTGGATGGTGATGAATAAGAGAAGTGCTGTTTTTTTCACATATTCCTGAAGATGCTCACGTCTGTCTTTTAAACCAGCACAGAGCTTTTATTAAGGTAAACTGAGAGCCCACTGGAGAAAGTGTCAGGAGCAAGGTTTTGTTAACATGGCATATTTAAAGAGTTGTTTTACTCCACTGGAAGACAGTTTTGATGAGTGACAAGCTGTTCGCTAGCAGACTTTAACAGAAGCAGATGCTCCTGCCTGAGCTCGGTCTGCTGAAGGTTTCTTCCTGTTTAAAGGGAGTTTTTCCTTCCTACTGTCGCCAAATGCTTGCTCATAGTGTTTCTGTACCTTACAATATAAAGTGTCTTGTGGTGACTGGTGTTATGTTTGGGGCTGTAAAAGTAAAACTGAATTGAATTTAAATGAACAGGACAGAAATTTTCCTCTATTTTCCTTTTCCTTGACGTTAACCTACACTTCACCTCCACCTTTGTACTCCTGACTAAGCCCTCGTTCTTTTATTCAGTTTGGCACATTTCTGATTTTTGCAAAAATCGCGTCTGCTGCTGGATTAAACGAGCTTCATTTCGAAGCTTAAAATGAGCGAACTGTAGCTGAGCATCTGCAGCATTAGGCTCAATAGGCAGCCAGGCTTCTGAGTCATGCTGGGGTGAAAGAGAGCATCCGCCAGCGGCAGAGAGGATAAATGAGTCTGCCGCAGCATCACGGAGGGGAAACAGCAAGGTGACTGGGTGAACCTCAGCAGAATCACCAACAGGTGGCAGCCATATCCTCCCCCCAGAGTTAGCACCTTTGCATACTGAGTGCTTCCTTACAAAGCATATGCATCCATGTATGTACGATAGAAGACAGGCGCTAGCAGGATCTAAATAATTTAGTGGAGTGTTTAGCAAGGGACACGATCACTGTCTCCTTGGCTGTCCTGGTTTTAACTCTCAGAATAGAAAGCATTTTTTATTTTTACCTCTGCAGCCTGCTTAACTGTTACTCTGGCCCACACGAACCGCAGACGCCGGTGTCATCACACCACCCGAGCTGAGGGGTGACAATTTAATGCAAAGAGGAAAACGCACAACTGCCCAAGCACTCTGCACAGTGTTTTGTTGTGCAGGACAACAACATCCTCTTATGCGCCACAGCTCAGGCCCGGCACAAGACCCGAGCCGGGCCCAGTGGGGAATCATTGATTTTTGCGCTCCCCTGTTGCTTGTTTCTTCTCCATGGAAACTGGAGCAGCAGTCAATTGAGATTTAGTAAATGACCTGACTGGCTGAGCACAAAGCTGGTTTGCATCTCACGTTCTGTGCATGCATCAAAACGCAGATGGTCGAGTGAGAGAGGGGGAGGAGAGACTGAAGAAAAGAGACAGGGCAAAGCAGGAGGAGGACAAGTCATATGGTGGGAAGACGTAGTGGCCTACGGTAGTGCTGTGCCATACTGCAAATTTTGGTATCGACCCAATACCGAGCATACAGGGCCAATATTGCCAACACCAATGCAGAGACTGATGCTTTTAACTTTTAAAGGCAGCTTAAGTAGGGAACAGCGGTGTGTCATGATTTATGAGATGATGAATGATCATCAATCTGCCAAATCTGAACATATTTTCATGACCAGTAGCACAAGTCGATGGTGTTCCCACAGTACACGCATAACTGTTTCCAGTGTTTTAATATACAGCTGTAAAGAACTTCTACACAATGCTATACTTCCTCATTCACTGCAACACGTTGCTGCTGTGCACAGCAGGGCATGGAGGAGGGGGCGGAGCAAAGTGTGCCTGCATGAGAGGAGCGGTGTTTGTCTACTTTCTGATGAACGGGTGCAACGCACTGAACTTAGGCGAGTGAAACACAGCAAAATATTGATCCCGTCACGCTAGTATCGATCTGATATCTGTACCAATATTACTTATTGGTATCGATCCTATCGATATTTGGATCGATCCGCCTACTCCTAGCTTAAGAAATGAGAATGAAGAAAGGAGAAACAGTGACAGAAAGCTATGAAAAGTCCACACTTTCCTCCTCTTTTAGTCTAAATTCTACCTCCAGCCTGTGACGCTGCTCACAAAGCTGAATCTGTGAAACAAAACTTGCACAGTGTGCTTACTTTTAAGTCTTTGTTGTGCCTTGGGATATTTTGCGACATATTTTAAGTTCTGCGGCTAATCCTGCTTTGTTACTTACCTCCCTGGCAGTGTGTATACTGCTCTAATCAAAGCAGACTAATGCAAACCACAGCAGTGGGCAACATGGGGAAAATAAACCCTCTAAGTGTTTCTCTCTGGGTTTAATATTTGCCTGTACCTATTTTTTTTTCCTGGATAGCGGCCTGTAAGCTGTCCTGATGGAATTTACTGCCACTGGCCTTTCTGCGAGTTATTAGCTGCTCAGCCGCTCACTTATTCATTACTGAAGGGCCTGTTGTGCACCCTGACGGATTTGCTAGCTTGCTCTACAACACAGTAGGGCTGTTACAGCACCAAACAGCCATCCGTCATGAAGCAAATTCACGGAGTGCTTGCTGCATGGGTTACTAAGCCAGTCAGCTACTGCATATTAAAGCAGTGGATCATAGCAGAATTTGCAGACTAAACTACAGCCCTGGCATTATAAACACAGAATTCATTTTTATTTGCTGCTATTCAGAGAGGTGATATATGGCACATGAGTTATTAGCCTCTACAGCAGGCAGGTCTGCCCCAGCTTAATAAGCTCATATGAGCATGTCAGCGCTGCGAAGAACTAGCGGCGTTTCAAGTCTTTTGATGATGATCTTTTTAGATCTCAGCTGGAAGATTTGCCAATCATTATTCTCTCACATTACCCACTCATGCTTTCTCTGTTGTGCTGTTACATAAGCATAGTTGAAATCTTCAGGCTTCTTGCACCCTTTTCTAACATCTGTGGCTTCGTGGGCAGATCTAACCAGTGGAAGGTTAGCTTAGCTTAGCATGCAAGACTCGAAACATGAGTGAGACCCTAAGCTGCACCTATTCCTTATGCTGGCTCACTACATCCATGTACCTTCTAATCTTGTCCATCCTGGTCAGTCCCAGTGAAAATCTTAACACCTTCAGCTCTGCCTCCTGTCTGTATTCTATCTAGTTTCTACTACTCTCTCCAGAGCATACCTCCACCTCTCCAGGCTGTCTTCCACCTGCTCCCTACTGTCACTACAGATCATATTGTTGTCGGTTTATGGGCTCAGTCACTCATTTTGGTTCAATTTAAATATATGATCCAGGTTGTATATTTCAGAAAGGAGCTATACTTATTGGCTCATGACTTCCGATCGACCAATGAGCCCACAGTTTCTCTACTCACAAAGATGACAAGGCTGGAAATGCTCATCTCGAGCCTTCTCATGTCAGTAGGTGACGTCATGCTGGCTACAGCTGAGTCTGTGTCTGTCATCAGGTCAAAAACTTTTACTAAATGTTCAAAAACCAGCGTATGAACATAATAAGTAACAATTTTACTAATGTGGTTGATACATATAGCGTCTTTCTGTGCTAGAAGACATATCACAAGTCAAAGCACTTCTCTGCTGCTCTGCTCCGTGTGTCATAAAGGAACAGACACGTGGAGCAGAGCTGACACCTGCACAGTGGGGAAGAGGAAGACAGGTAAGTAAAGGCAAAGTTTCCGAACTTGACAACTCATTTTGTTACTGTCAGTGCAATAAAAATGCAATAATCAGCTGTCACTCCGACGAACGATGTGAAATAACCCGCTGTTATATCATTCAGGTCATATGTACATATGCAGTTATACTACTCTGTTTTGCATTTATAGTTTGTATAGTTGTTTGTATAGTGAATTGTGGTCACATTCCTTGTTTTTGTGCACAAACTTGGCCAAATAAAGATGATTCTGATCCACACAGTGGGGTTGCAGGCAAAATAAATACATTTCCATATTCGTAGAAGGAAAAATATCGGCTAAATATATGTAGAATCAGAAGCTTTTCTAATGCGCAAACAGATTATTTTCAGATATTACCTCTAGAGAGAACATAAGAAAACAAAAATCAAAAGAAGTCCAAAGAAGTAACTAAACTGTACAAACAGTACTTTACTAGTATAAATAAAAGTATTCAAAGCTAATAAGAACGATTTGTTGTTAATTCTGTTTTGTTCTACAAATTATTCTACTGGAATAAGTCTTTCGTCATTCACCCTAATGTAATTTTTCCTCACAGTCCTTTTGAAAGCTCCGGTTG